ATTTAAGATTTTGGACATAGGTCAAAAACAGTTCCAGAGTTTCTACACCAATAGGATTTGCTGGTCTACACTGAAATTATCAGTTTTAAATAAACTTACTTTTAAGGTAACAGCACTTTGTCCACTTACTTGGGTGGTTCTGATTTTATGGGATTTAAAAATTTCTTAATATTCACATCCAGGATCTATTCTATATCTAACTTATAAAACATACATGGAAAGTGATCCCAGTCTTTTATCACTGGAAAATTTTTATTTGAGGTATTTTGCTTTTGACTCTATGGATGAATAGTACTCAATCTGTAGGAGAGTCAACACTTCAATAACTGGCTTATTATTAATCTCTTCATTAAACCTGTACCGAATTGTAAAGAAAATGACTCAATAACAATGTACCTGAATGTATGTATAGCTATTAGAATCCAGGCAAAAACCTAAGGGAGAAAAGCAAAAACCTTATATTTAAGGGCCCATAGAGATTTGGACTACTGCCACTGCCATAACTCTTTCCACACAGTTTATTCCCCCAACTGAGGAGACAGTTCTAATGCCTAATGCCTCTCCAGCCTTCCTTGATGCTAGCATACCTTGTTTGCTAAGTTGTCATCTCCACAGCACTAAACCACATGATTTCTCCCCTATGTTATTTCATTTTATTTCCCATAAAAAGCACAATGAGAAATATCCTAGGAGCCAGAGCTTTTACTCTCCAACTGTAATATTCAGTTTTATAACATCATTAAGTTTCTTACAGAAAAATAATAATGTGGGCAATGTGAATGAGTTTCTCATATTGGCTTCAGCATTTCTGAGGCCCAACCAGCTATTAGATTCACTTACTGACTAGAATTCCAGCCATTTAGTGATGTAGATTAGCAGACCAATAGGTAAAGGGGGGGGGGGTGGCTATAGCAACTTCAAAATTAAGTAATCACACAATTCAGTAACACACTAATAAGATCTGAGCTAAGGATGTTTTGACCCCCAAAAGAGAACTGTTACTTGATACCATCTGAAACCCAAAAGAAGTAGCTATTAGGGAAGTTTAGTTTATACATAAAAAAATAAGATGTGATTAATTTGTCTTTAAAAGAGCAAAAGTGTCAACTATAATCTCAGGACTCTGAAACAAACAAAAATACCTCAGAATAATACTTCAGATAAAGCTATGCTAATCACTTCTCTCAAAATGATATCTTGCTTCTCTTTCCTCATTAGGAGACTAATACATTTATTTAAATACAACAGATTTGAGGGGATTCCAGCCCCTGCAATCAATACTGGCCTGTAGGATGGCTACACAGTTACAGACACTGGGACCTTCTGAATAGGGCTGTTGGCCATACAATGACATTACTATCTAGTTCCAACATTATTTATGCAATTTATCTCAGTAAATTTACTTTCTAGTCTGAGGGAAGTTGGAAGATGAGGTGGTAGAAAAGGTACCAGATATGGAATGTGTAGATTTGATAGGAAAGAGAAAATGGAACAAGAATTTATTACTCTTCTACTCCAAGGAGTCCTATTGACTACAACAATACTTTGGTTTATATAATTGAAAGTCTTTATACTCCTCTAGTCTTTGGCTGTGATATTAAGTCATAGGAAATACACTCCCTCAAGCAGTTAGAACTTCTGGATATTCAGGAGCAGAATAGGACTTTCCTAAGTAATATCTATAGCAGTGATGGGCATGATTTCAAATCATGGACTAGTAAGAACTCTTGGTGAAAAAGTATTTCAATCATTGTACTATCTCCTTCTCATTTTTCAGTTTCCCAATCCTGTAACTTAGCAAATTTTATCACAAAACCTTCTTGTTGGTGACATAATTTCCACTCTCAGCCTAATGGTCAAGGTTTAATACAAGGGGGGAAAGAATGAAACTGACATTTATGGAAGGCATTCGATGTGTTTTATACTATAGATATTTTGTAGCATTTAACCCTGATTCCTATTCTAAGAAACCCTAGTTTCTTTACTTTGTAGATGATGGAAATAAGTTCATGCAAACTTGCCCAAAGTGACAAGGTACAATAAGAATACCAAGATGCAAAGTCATGTCTGGCATTGCTGTGTTGTCTATCAAAAAGACTCAGGTGCACCCACTTGGCTCAGTTAAGCTTCTGACTCTTGATTTTGGCTCAGGTTATCATCTCAAGATTCGTGAGGTCAAGCCCCATGTTGGGCTCTGCTTGGGATTCTATCTGCTTGGGATTCTATCTCTCTCCCTTACCACCCCCCCCCCCCAGATAAATAAATATGAAAAAAGTATTAATAAAAAAGACCTGACATCTTCTTCGTTTTTTGTCTGTATAAACACACTTAATAAAACAGGCATAAATTTCTCTCTGTGTTTTTTTTTAAATACTGCCAAGCCAGTATTTTGATTCATGATTCTCTTCTATCCAGTTCCCAAATCTTATGAATTTTCTGAATTTCATTCTTGGGGAAATCCAACCATTTACCATTGCTGCCTTCCAACTAAAAGTAGTCCATTCCCTTCAGGTGTCTTACTGATTTGTCTTCTCAGCCCAGAATTTGGCTAAAATCTCAGACTAAAATCAGTAAATAATATTTTAAGACCAAAAAACAATGCTTAGTTAAAAATCTAGTTGTCTCCCTCAGCTGATGGGAAAACTGAACATTTGGCCCTCCTTATGACATATATTTTGATTTAAAATCTTAAGAGTTTTTTTTTTCCAAAAGACAAATATTCTCTCAAATTGTTTTGTTCATTTTTACCACCTTCACTGAAGCATGAATAGCACAGAAGTAGGCATTAGTCTTTGGCTTGTGTGTGATTCAATCGAGTGTTACTTGCATTCCAATTACTCAGGCAGCATGGAATACAGCTGTGTCCAAGAAGTATTTCAGAGTTCCTTTAAAAACTCTGTATAAGATGGTATAGAATTCACTTGAATTGCATATGAAGTATTACAGTTTGAATTGGACCCAACGTGTTTCTTGGTTATTACTTCAAAGTCATTTTTTTTAAATTATTACCAAGTTCAGAAAAGATTTTAAATGTGCTGTTTCAAAAAAGTAATATATTTAGGGGGTGCCTGGGTGGCTCAGTTGGTTGGGCATCCGACTTCGGCTCAGGTCTTGATCTCATGGTCTGTGAGTTCAAGCCCCGCATCAGGCTCTGTACTAAGAGCTCAGAGCCTGGAACCTGCTTCAGATTCTGTGTCTCCCTCTCTCTCTTCCCCTCCCTGCTCACATAAATAAATAAACATTTAAAAAAAATTTTAAAGGTAATATATTTGCGTTCCTCAAGGCCAGTCAGAAAGCACAGCTCAGCATGGTGACCTCTCTATTAAAACAGAAGAGGGTGCATATTTGACTAGAATGAAACATTATCAAATAAGTCATCAGGGCAGTACATTTTACTAAATTCTACCTTTCTTATTTCATAGTTATATGACTTTAGAAGCATTATTAGCTTTCTGCTCTTCAGTTCACTTTAATGGGCTCCTCGTTGTAAAGATTAAATAATGTATATAAAGTACCTATCATACATAGTACTTGTCACCTACCAAGTCTTTGTTACCAAAGAAATGACTAGTTCCTTTCCTTGGCTGAGTGAATCTAAAACAAGGTCTCAGACAACACCTTATTTATCATGAACCGCTGGGCTTGTTATATAACGACACCTGGTCCAAATAACTGCAGTTGCAATCTTTATACTCACAAAAAAGCCACAATTAAATAGAAACTAAATACTCTTTACTAAAAGGCAAAGCTGATTCTCTTACACCAAAGATGAAGCTGTGGTCAAGCCAGTAAGGAAAAGAATGCTAAGTTTTAGACTTATGCACTTTATCTTGGTAAAAATAAGCAAGCACATAATAGTCAATGTTTTCTTTTCGCTGAAACATAGTTAATATTTTACAGAAAATAATTTTTTTTCTTAAGAAACTATAACAGATTTTAATCTATTTGGGGAAAACATTTACTTAACATCTACATAGGAGAACCATTAAAAAGGAGGCAATAAATGATAGATTGTGTGTGTGTGTGTGTGTGTGTGTGTGTGTGTGTGTGTGAAATGTAGGGGAAATGTTTCCTATATTCTATTTTCCTTATCAGTTTACAGTATTGCTGTCACTATTTTAACTAGATTATCATATAGCAACACAACAAAGCCATAACCCATAAATTTCAACCAAATATTTGAAAATATTCTATTTCCTAGACTCAGAAGAGTTTCAGAATTTTCAAAAAGTATTCATTTTATTTAAATCTTGTCTCCGTAGAACATATACCCATTGTATCAACTAAGAGGTGTAAAAACTGAATTTATTTTTCTGTAGATAGTTTTTCCCTAGATGGATATAGTTCTCAGCAACACCACAAGACTCCTCAGTAACTCAAGGAACAGGATTCTAATTACATCAGGTTGGCTAAAAGACCACTTTTTAGATGCTGTTCACATCTCTTTAACTGCTCTCATCAGAGGTTCTCTTTTACACCACTGGCTAAGGACAACCATAGTATATAATAGAACAATGATATCTGACATAGTAGTACTGTGGATTTTGTGTTGCCACATTATTTATGCATCTCTGTTACCTTTCTCTGTTAATAGTAAGTGCAAAAAGTATGTGAAACTGGTGTAGGATAGCAATAGTGGGGCAATGCATGTGTGGAAATGGGGATTATATGGGAACTCTACTTTCTGCTCAATTTTGCTGTGAACCTAAAAAACTGCTCTAAAAATTGAAGTCTATTTTCAAAAACTATGTAAAATTAAAACGATAATTTTCCTGTACCTTGCTTTCATTATCAAATGTGTGACTGGCACAGTTTTAAAGACTTTAAAAAATGTTCAGTTGGGGCTGCCTGGGTGGCAGTCAGTTGAGCATCTGACTCTTGATTTCAGCTCAGGTCATGATCCCAGGACCTTGGGATCAAGCCCTGCATTGGGCTCTGTGCTGACAGCATGGAGCCTGCTTGAGATCCGCTCTCTCAATTTCTCTCTCTCTCCCCCTCTGCCCCTCTGTTTAGCTCACACACTTTCTCTCTCTAAAATTTAAAAAAAAAGAAAATTTTAATTGAAATACTTTCCAAGTTGGGGCGCCTGGGTGGCGCAGTCGGTTAAGCGTCCGACTTCAGCCAGGTCACGATCTCGCGGTCCGTGAGTTCGAGCCCCGCGTCGGGCTCTGGGCTGATGGCTCAGAGCCTGGAGCCTGTTTCTGATTCTGTGTCTCCCTCTCTCTCTGCCCCTCCCCCGTTCATGCTCTGTCTCTCTCTGTCCCAAAAATAAATAAACGTTTAAAAAAAAAAAAAAAAGAAATACTTTCCAAGTATAATTGCAGGTTTGACTACAAGCTATCTTATTAATTTCTCTTTTCATTTAAGAATTTTACCTGCATTACAAAATAAATGATCTATATTCTTTGGAGTCAAACAATTTGAAAATAAGTCTATCAAATATAACATGAAGCATAGCAATAGGATATTTATTTTATAAAAAATACTTTAACTGCTATGCTGTCTATTATTAGGGAAAAAAGGGACTCATGTTAGCTAAAATAGTAACTGGGCTTTTAAGGACAGGAGTTTTGTTAAAAGTTGTTACAATCTGCCATTAAGTGAACTTTCTGCTCTCATAATCATTTGGTCTATAGTTACTCTTTCCAGTAAAGGAAAAAAAGTAATTTTATTTTTATTTTTATTTTAACATCCTGGAACCCTCACTAAAGCAAATTTCTAGGGTAAAAAGCATTTATATGCATTCTTGATATAAAGAAAAACTACACAACTAGAACTGATAAAAACAAGGAACACAACCAATTGAGAGCTAAACAGTTTACTGTTGTGAGGAAACATTATCAGATAAGGACTTTAGAGGACTTGTTATAAATGTGCTAAGTAGTTTTTAATTAGCTACTCCAGACAACATCCTTGTGAAATTAAGTGTTATCCACTTGTATGAATAAAAACTATTTAAAAAAACTATTGCAGAAGATAAAGTAATTCAAAACCCACTCTTGCAAATTTGGTTAAACACACACAACACACATACACACAATCACATACATACAAAACACTCACACAACAATTTCTGATCATGAAAGATATCACTGAAAAAGTAAAAATAGTATTATTGGCAAGATTAAAAACAACGTGGATAGTAACAGCAACAAGAACAAGGGACATAGGAGGAAGAAATAACTTTTAAAAAGAACAAATTAAATAGAGCTATAGAATAATGTGCAATACATAAATTAACTTGCAGAATGTCAAAATATTTATATCATCTCTGGACCATGACATTCTGTAAGCATTCACATCTGTTAAGTAATGAGACTACGTGATCTTTGAAGCATTGCCCAGCTCTGTAATTCCATACATCTAGGAATTAATAATATAATTTTAAAGAATGTTTAAATGCTTAGTAAAAATGCCTATTAAGTGAAATAAAAAAAATCTAGGTATTATTTTATTAAAGGTGGGCTTTTTCAAAGTCTCCTAAATGTAATATCTTTTTTTCTTACATTTTCTGATTATAAATAATGAATTTTATTGTGCACAATTATTTTAAAATTCTTTATCTGTACCCTGTTTCTGATTAAATTTCTTTAGACTAAATTTTCTTCAAACTTTATAGTTTGCGTGGCTACTTTATGCCGAAAGTATTAGGAAAAATGAATTTAAAAAGAATAATACCAACAAAAGTGACAATGAGATAGAGAAAATTTGTATTCCTACAACCTGATCTTACTTGATGAACTACATTTTTTATTGCTGGGTGATAGGAAAGGTTGGTTAAAATATCCATAAACCAATATATACATAAAAACAATATGGTTTATATCCATAAAACCAATGATAAAGTTAAAATGCCAAAAATAAAATAGCAATGAGACAACAGGAGAACTGATTCCTAACTAGAAAGTATGTGACATTGAGTAGACTAGTTGTTCACTTATTTTTATAAGTGTGGTATATACTGAATAAATCATGAAACATTTGCCCTAAATAACTGCCATGTCAGTTAATCCTTTGCATACAATGATCTGACATTAGGCTAGATTCAGAAATCTAGGATTTTACACTAAAATCTGTGGATTCATGTGGTCATTATTCTCTGACTCTAATCCTGAAGTCAACTAAACAACAACAAGGTCAGCAAAGTTTAGAATTAACTTACATAAACCTAGAAATGCTGTGAATACAGTAGATGCCATTTGTCAGACTTTTTAGAATTTTAGCGTGATGCTCTAGTGTTTCTTTTTTTTGGTCAGAGGAACGATTATCAGAGAGCTCACTGAATAGTCTGGCTTGACATATCCTAATGCCCATATTCTCTACATTCTTTTATGTATACTACATGTCAAAAAACTAATGTGGCCCACATGAAGCCATCCATTTAAGTCAAAAGTCAGTGGACTTTTTTTTTGCGGGGGGGAGCATGGGGGAAGGACAGAGGGAGAGAAAGAGAGAATCTTAAGCAGGCCCCATGCACATCAGAGACCGATGTGGGGCTCGATCCCATAATCCTGGGATCATGAGCTGAGCCAAAATCAAGAGTTGGATGCTTAACTGACAGAGCCACCCAGGCACCCCAAAAGTCAATGGACTTTTAGGTATCTGTCATTAAATTAAAAATTTAAATGTAAAAATTTTAATGTAAAACTTAAAATAACTGAGGTAAATATTAATGACTTCCAATATTAACTTTTTTATTATCTCATCATATATGTAGAGATATATATGTCTAACTTAAGGGAATGTACTATAGTCAATAAATCTGACATTTGATCCAGAATGTCCTAAATGAAATGATGGAAAGAAATAACTTTTTCTAAATATTCAGAAAGGGAATTTATTGTGTTGTTAAGCACAATTCATCCAACTAGACTGCACAGTGGGAAAAGCTAACTCATCTACAATGCATTAGATAAAGCAGAGGCACTCAGGTGAATGGCCCCGTGGAGAACACAACAGGACTAAGTAGAACTTGATATGAGGGGCTGACACTACAGACTGGATAACATTCATGCTCAGTAGCTGCAAAGGGACAGCGAGTGAGGTGTCTCTAAGGATAATAACTTAGAAATACCTTTCAACCCTTCATCTAACTTCTTCCTCTAGCAAAGGTTAAAAGTAAGTTTGACACCTTGTTCTATTGCCTGCACTTACCCTCAGGTAATAAAAGAGACAATGAAATATAATAATGGGTCCCTGTGCTCCATGGCACTCTATAACATCTATTACACATCTCTAGAAGTTCAAACACACTCTTCCTAGTGATTTTAAATCATTGAACTGCATTTAAAAGAAAATAAAAGAAAACATTAGAGTAGATATGTCACTAAGTCTGTGGCTTTTTGCCCTTGCCTCTGAAGTGGCTGACATCTTCATTAATGCTCCCTCTTCACAGTCCCTAAAGAACATGACATTGCTTAAGTCATTAATGCATTTTAGGTCAGCTAACCTGTAACATACTAATTAATTAAATTATACCCTTACTGGCTTCTTTTGATCCTCATTATACAATCAAGAAATAATATACACTTAGTAATAATAAGAATAATAATGAGGTAATTTACTGAGTGCTCGGTATGTACCAGGGACTGTTTTATATGCATTATTTAGTTTAATTGAAATGCAAAAATACTTGAAGAGCACAAAATAACTTACCCCTAAATGTATACATAAAGCACAACCCAGAGAAATATTTCTGTCTTGAATCATACTAAGTTTATCAAAGTAAAGTCTGCTGAAACGGAGGAAATATTTGTATCTTGAATTACATCACTGCATTTAAGGAATGCTATTAATTTAATGGAAGAATTAATACTAAGAAACTGAAGAAATAAGTTCCAAAAAAGTAATCACTGCGGTTTCTATCTTAGGATAGCTTTATCAAAACTTCTTTCAGAAAGACCTTGTAGTTGCTCCTTTCTTTTTCAGAGATACTTGGCACTGTCTTTTCTCACTCTCTTCCTTACTGTCTTCTAATATCAGGAAATACTTGGAGAATTTCCTTCTTTGCCTGCTTGCTGACAAAGTGATCTAAACGATTTATTCCTTCGCAACCTTTTTAGTTGAGCTTGAATATCCATATTTTAGGCTTATTGTGGCATATCTATAGAAAACGTCTCCTAAAGAAGTAACACAACAAAAAGTACAGAAAGAGAGCTAAGAGAGAAAACGCCACAAAAGTAATGTAATCACTCAAAAAATGGGTACATTTCTCTAGAGTGTAAAGTGCCTCGTGAACAGAATCTCTGATTTACCCTTGAAGGGTGTCAGCAAGTGCTTAACTATGTCCATCAGACTGGAAAAGTACTGCCTAGCTGCAGAAGGCAAAACCATTGATACCAAGTGTCTTGTCAGCTCCCCACAGCGATGCTATTCCTTACCCTGATCCCATGCCACTGCCAGCCACCAACGGATTATTTGTCATGTAAACACAATACCAAACACTAACTCCTACCTTTTCATCCATGCTTTCAGAAAACCCTTTAAATGCAATGTGGTTAGAAGCAAGAACATGTTACCCCAAAACTCTAATTATGATGTATACTACCATTTAATCACTGAATCAGCTCTGTATGGCTGGGAAAAAGAAGTAGAGCGAGTATATTTTATGTGTTAATAGAAAATATGCAGGGATTTCATATTTAAGCTTTTCTTCTAAAATCCAATGTAATAGCAATTTCTTTAAAAATAAGATAAAAACAGAGAAGGAGGCAAACCATAAGAGACTCATAAATACAGAGAACAAACTGAGAGTTGATCGGGGTGGGGGTGGGGAAAATGGGTGATGGGCGTTAAGGAAGGCACTGGTTGGGATGAGCACTGGGTGTTATATGTAAGTGATAAATCACTGGGTTCTACTCCTGAAGCCAAGACTACACTGTATGTTAACTAACTTGAGAATACATTTTTAAAAAAGAAAAAAAAATAGGATTTCTTTAAGAAATTAGAAAGTAGGTTGCCAATAAATTAGCATATAAATTTGCCTCACCCATTTAGCATCCTCTAAATACATGTGTTTATTCATACGTGCATTCATGCATATATGTGTGTGTATACACACACACATACCTACTAAGTGTATCCACAAAATTGAAAATGTAGACCCATGTAAAACAATGTAACTCCAAAATATAGTAAGGAACTTTGTTTTCCATATTGACGTATACATTGAAAATAATATTTTTATATGTATTACTCAATGAGCATTTTAACCCCAGAGAGAATCACCTATTGATTTTAAGTCTAGGTTTATGTTACACTATTTTCAGCTATGACACATACTTTCTTTCAGGGTAAACATCAGTGAGTGACAATGAAGGAAAAAAGAGTAATGAAAAGAATAAAAGCAAACAATGGATAACCTAGGATGTTACAAGGAATACCAATGCTTGTTATGGGATGGAATAGGTGACACTTCAATGGAATACCAATGCTGCTAAATAATTAAAATTTTCTAAATCTCAACAATTTCTCAGTCCCAAAACTGACTCTCTGAGAAAGTTTCTTTCTGTGGTAGCCATAATATTTATGTCCATTTTAATGAGACTTCTCTATCATCAAAGGGCAGAGAGGTCCTTTTCAAAAGTCAACTCCTACATTGAAAGATCAAACAACTGTAAGTCTTCCAGGGCTTTGATTTAAATGCATCAGATGTGAAGGACATGAGGGACTCTTCACAGTGCCATAGTGAAACTGCTAGAACTTCAAGTCCCATGATTCTTAGCTGTTGCAAACCAGAGCAATGATAGACTTTGCACACAGGCAAAACAAAGACTCCTTCATGAGTTTCTTCAGATTTTGTAATCTTGAGATCTTTCTGAGCCTCAGTGATGTCATCTGTAGTCAAAGGACACCTGCAACTCAACATATTCTGAACATGGAATGATACACAAATATGAATCACTGGCATTTAAAATATTAGTGTTGCCAACAGTGTGCCCTAAAATATAAAACAATAAAAGTCAAAAGATCC